AATATCCCTAACGTGACAAGCAAAATGTTAATATCTGATACACAGCATAAGTCAGTTTTTGGTTACCAAGTCACAACAGATTAGAAGAGCTGCCATATGCCACAGACAGGGGACCTAACAGTCATGTCTGCAGAAAAGGAAACAGACAAACAATAAAAAGGGAACCTATTTCTCAAAGAATAACAAAGAAGAGGGATAGGAGTGCTGCACTTGGGGTACATTACTCATGTGACTGTAGCCCTTGGCATCCAACTTTAAAAAGGATATGACCAAGGAGATGACGTATCTGGAAATAAGGTCATGAAGAGCAGCTGGAGGAATCAGCTTAGAGAATAAAAGACACGGTGAGAACATGGTGACTTTCTTCCAATATTTAATGTGCTTTCAAAAATAAGCATTTTTCAGTGACCCTAGATGGAAATGGACATCACAATTGTATTACATTTACCATCATCTCAATGTAACAGAATGTTGTGGTAACTAGAGCTATCTCCAAAGTATACAGAGGGGCTTTATAAGGTCATAAGTTTTTCACAGTTGACTTATTACCTATTGATTTCCAGAGTCCTGTATCTCTAGGCTGTCTGATAACGCCACAGGAGTGGTCAAAAGGCATCTCAAACTAAGTACAGCCCAAATAGAAGTACCAATTTCTCTTCTAAACCCTCCTTCCCTCCCCCCATTTTTTCTTTCCTTAGCCTTTTCTTTTTTTTTTCCCCCCAAAGACTTATTTATTTATGCATACAAGAGCTGGGGTGCAGGCCAGATGTGCGGGGGGTGGGGGAGGTTTAAGAGTATTCACCAGAGACAAAGTGGGAAACAGAACAGTCAGACTGACTGAAGTACACTGCTGAGGGGAGCAGCGGGCGCGACAGGAGAGGTCTGCTGCGCTATGTGGGTTGTTCCCTGGGCAGCCGGGGAATCAAACTCTTGCTGCAGAGGCTGCGGACAGCTTCACAGGTTGTGTGTTAATCCCTTGCGCCACCAGGGAGGGCCCTCCTTAGCCTTTTCCATCTCAGTAAACATTATCACCATTCACAAATGTTAGGCACTATTTAGGATTTCTCCCTTTCTCACACCTTCCACATATAATCCAACAGCAAGTCCTGCCAGCTTTACCTCTACAATATACCCAGATTCCTTCTAGTCTCTCATTCCCATTGTACCACCCTTGTCAAAGCCATCCTAATTTTCACATTATTTATTACAACGGTGTCTAAATCAGGCTTACTGATTTCATTCTTACTCTACAATTCATTGTTCGAAGAGGTATCAAACTGTATTTGGCCCCTAGCTCCCTTTCTTGCCTTATTGTCAACCACTAGTTCTTGTTCACTAATTTCCTGCCATACAGTTATTATTATTTTCTGTCCTTCTGTCATATCAAGTTCATTTTTTAAAAAAGATTATTTATTTATGTATACAAGAACTGGGGTACAGGCCAGAGGTGCGGGGAGTGAGAGGATTCACCAGAGACAGAGTGGGAAACAGAACAGGCATACTGACTGAAATACACTGCTGAGGGGAGTGGTGTGTGAGTCAGGAGAAGTCTGCTGGGCCATGTGGGTAGCTCCCTGGCTGGCCAGGGGATCAAACTCATGCTTTAGTGGTTGCAAATAGCTTCATAGGTCGCGTCTTAACTGCTTGCGCCACCAGGGAAGCCCTCAAGTTCATTTCTAACTTCAGAGTTTTCCTGGAGAAGACTTTACAAAGTCTTCAAATGCTTGATCCTTCTTGTCAGTTGGAACTGAGATCAAGTCTCGTCTTCAGAAAGGTTTTCTATATTATCCTTCCACACACTCACTCCTTAGCACGTCTCTGTTGTAATTTTTTCCATAGTTCTTATTTCTTTTTTTTTAAAAGACGTATTTTATTTATTTATTTATCTATTGTGCATACAAGAGCTGGGGTGTAGGCCAGAGTTGTGGAGGGGGCCAGAGTGAGAGGGGAACAGAGACCGAGTGGGGAACGGAACAGGTGGATCTACAGAAATACACTGCTGAGGAAAGCAGTGGGCAAGACAGGAGAGGTCTGCTGTGCCATGTGGGTCAGCTACCTGGTTGAGGATCGATTGCATGATGCAGTGGCTGTACATAGCTTCATAGTGATGCACCACCAGGGAGGCCTACAGTTCTTATTTTTATTTGAAATTATTTCTTTGGTTATTGTTTGCCCCATGACAAGCTAGAACCTTATCTATCAACATTAATTGTACGCTATAGGGCCTCCCTGGTGGCGCAAGGGGTTAAGACTCAATCTATGAAGCTAACTACAGCCACTGCAGCACGAGTTTGATCACTGGCCAGGGAGCAACCTACATGGCACAGCAGACCTCTCCTGACTCGCCCGCTGCTCCCCTCAGCAGTGTATTTCAGTCAATCTGCCTGTTCTGTTCCCCACTTGGCCTCTGTTCCCCTCTCACCCAAACCCCCCTCCACAACTCTGGCCTACACCCCAGCTCTTGTATGCATAAATAAATAAATCTTTAAAAAAATAAAGTACTATCCTCCTCTTTATAGCTTCCACTTTCTAGGATGGTGTTGCTCCAGAATTCTTATTTTTATTTCTTTCTTATTTTTATTCTTTTTATTAAGAAATAATTCTTATTTCTTACCTTGCTTTAAATCTCTAACTTTTGTTTGTCCTTTTCCTACTGCCAATGAGTTTCTAAAGTTCCCCCATCCTGAAACACGCTCATTCATCCTATACCTCTATTTCCCATAAGGTATTCTTGTGATTTACTTTCAAATTCCTCCAAAGATTGGTCTTGTGTTTTACTTTCAAATTCCTGCTTCTACTTCTTTCCCTCCCATTCAGCATCAAATTATTTCAAAATATCTAGAGGTCTGCACAGAAGTTCAGACCTCTATTTGAAATTACACACCCACTCCTAATACTACCTCTGCTTTAGCTAGAATTCTTTTTTCCCCAGTAAGTCATAATGTATTCATAAAATGAAAAGCTCTCCATTAAAATATACTTTTCACTGGATCTATATAAAGTAAGACTTAATTTTGGTAGATTTCAGTGTAAGGCAGTCAGCACTAAACTTATTTGCTCTTATTTCCACAGAGCTGTTTACTTTCCAGCTAAGATTTAAAAAATATATATTTGAGACTATTATGTTGATGTTTGTTTCTCACTCAGCCATCTTCCTCTCATTATCATCTTCAGACCAGCTCTGCACACTTAGAAATGTCTAACTGCTGGAAGCCTAGTCAGAAGCATCTGGAACACTGGCAGTGGCAGAGTCTGCTTAACACTGGCAGTAAACCCTGCGGCTGTGCACACACAGCAACATGTTTGTCAGACTGTCACACTCTTCTCGTCTTCACATTGTGCTAGTAACCCTTCACCAAGCTGTATTTCTTCGAGGAAGAATTTCTGAACAGCTTCTTCATCTTTAAGGTAAAACAGCTTCTTCATCTTTAAGGAAAGTACAGCTCTCCTCAGCAAGCTTTTGTTACTTTCTTCATTCTGGCAATCTGTTTTTGAACTTGGGAGTCACCAGGTCTCTTGCAGTCAAAATGAAGGCAGTACCTGATGAAAAGGGCCCTGGAGCCAGGGCCCTCCAGCCCACCATCTTGTCGCCATCACAGTTGCGTGGCAGAAGAAGCTTTAGACCTTGATCCCTCAGCTGACAGAACCACCCCAGCCTGACATCTGTCATAAGGGAATTGGAAAGTCTTGAGAATTCTTATTTATTTTATTGAAAGGCCACACCCTCATGAGGTTTGGTTTCTCATAACTGGAGAAAAGAAGTGAAGAGAAACAAAAGAGAAACCAGAACATCTTCGTATGGAAGCTGGACCTTGTTCCCTTAGACATCAAGTTTAGATGGCTTTGAGGATGCTCCCAGGGGGTACATGGAAGGGCGCTGGCCTCTGACAAATGGAAGTGGGGGTGCTTCTCGGGAAGACAACTCTGTAGCGAAACATATCATAAAAGAAATGTCTGTTGAAATATTCTTTTTTTCTCCTTGTATCTCCTAGTCTTTGGAAAGTCTTGCTGTAACATTCTAGACTTATCTCAGCTGTATTAACTACTGAGTTAGAATTAAAAAAGAAGCGCTTGCCCTTCCCTTAGGCTATCAAAATGGTAGTTACAGTCTTTAGCAATAATTTCCAAAGGAAACATGTTTTTTTCTTGAAGGTTCAAGCATTCTTCCCCACATTCCAGTGCAACCTCACTACTGAAGCTTTAGCCAAAAATAACATGAGGGCCTCCCTGGTGATGCAGGGGTTAGGAAAGTGCTATCAAGCTTGTTTTTCGACAGCCACTGCAGCCAGGTTAGATCCCCAGCCAGTCAGGGGGCAACCCACATGGTGCAGGGGACCTTTTTCTTCCTAGCCCTCTGCTCCCCTCAGCAGTGTGTTTTGGTAGATCTGCCTGTTCTGCTCCCCACTCTCTCTGATGAACTGATGAATCCTCTCAACACCCTGCACCTCTGGCTTACACCCCAGTTCTTGTATGTATAAATAAATAAAACTTAAAAAAAAAATAATAACATGAGCTACCTAATTGCAAAACCAGTGAACTCCTGGTCCAACCCTACCTCTCTTTATCATGTAGAGTTAATGAATCTCCTAGCCCCTCTAGGCTTTCCACAGCAATCTCAAGGTACTCTTTGACTTCTCCAACCCCTAATTGTACATTGCTTTCATTGGTTCTCCCTCCTCAATGACTCTTAAATGTTGGATTCATCTTTGATCAATTTCCAAATATATGGCTTCACTCCAAACATAGTCTTGCGTTCTAGACCAAATTTATAACTGTCTGCTATGAATCTTAACATAGATATATCCTATAAATATCTCAAGCTCACATGCCCAAAACAGATTCTCCAAATTTGCTTCTTCTCTTCCCCTCTAATTTGCCCACTCTGATTAATGGCACTTCTAATGATCCAGTTTCTAAATTAAAATTTTTGATTTTTTAAATCTCCTTCACCTCCCAACTAACAAATTCTTTTTAGTCTGCTTTCAAAAAATGTCCCTCAAGTGCCCTCTTTGGCAGCATAAATGCTAAAATTGGAACCTACAGAGAAGATTAACTTGGCCCTGGGCAAGGTTGATATGCATATTCACAAGCGTTTCATATTTATTATGATGTAGTCTATAGTATCAAATTATAATGCTGTACATCTGAAAATTATATTATAAACCAATGTTATCTCAATAAAATTTTATAGATAATTTAAAAGTCCTTCAATAACCATACTAGTTAATGACAAGATCAAATCTTATTTTGAAAACGGTGCCATCACAAATGGATATCCACAAGCATAAGAATGAAGTTGGATTGGATGCCTTCCTCACATTATACATATAAATGAAAATAAAATGGTTCATAGATCAGAATGTAAACCTTTCTAACTTGACTTCAATGAAGTCTTTTGTGATTATGAATTAAAAGTACAAATAACAAGAGAAAAGTTAGATAAAATGAATTTCATCAACATATACACGTAAGTTTTTACTATCAAACAAGTGAAAAGACAGGGGTCTCCCTGGTAGCACAGCGGGTTGAGGGCAGCACTGTGAAGCTGTCCATAGCCAGCAGCACGGGTTCAATTCCCAGCCGGCCAGGGAGATACCCATGTGGTGCGGCAGACCTCTCCTGTCTTGCCCACTGCTCCCCTCAGCAGTGCTTTCAGTTAGTCTGCCTGTTCTGCTCCCTGCTCTGTCTCTGGTGAATCCTCTCACCCTCCCATGCCTCTGGCCTGTACCCTAGCTCTTGTATAAATAAATAATTTTTTTTTTTAAAAAAAGTGAAAAGACAACCATACAATGTGAAAAAATATTTATAACTCTTATATCTGATAAAAGACATATTTACAACTCAACAAAAACACAATTCATTAAAAAAAATGGGTAAGGATTATATACTCAATGGAATACTGCACAGTTGTTAAAAAGATGAAATAGTTGTTTTGGGGACAGAATGGATGGGCCTTGAGCTGATTATGTTAAGTGAAATGTCTGAAAGTTTAAGATAGATGTCGAATGGTTTCATTCATCTGAAGCATATAAATAACCAAAGATATACACAGACAAAATATAGCTGGAATAAATCTTGGACTTAGTGAGAGAAAGGTTACCAAAGGGAACAGTTGGAAAGTTGGAGGGGTTGGGCAGGGAGGCATATGGAGTACTGGCACAGGTGGTTTGGTGGAGGGTGAGTGGACCACATGCACATTATTTGGAGCAATAATGTAACTCCAAAATTAAAATTAAAAAAATGTGTAAAGGAGTTGAATAGACACATCTCAAAACATAAACAAAGGCCAATAAGCAAAACACATAATATCTTTAGTCACTAGAGAAATGCAGATGGGAATCCATAATGAGACATCAAGTTACACCCACTAAAATGGACACAATGAAAAAATATATATAATAACAACTGCTGTTGGTGAGGATATGGAGCAACTAGTGCCCTCATACATTTTTGGGGGGAGGGTATGTGAAATGGTGTGGTGCTTTGGGAATTATTTTGGAATCTCATAAAGTTCATCATATCCCATATAATACAGAAATTTCATTGCAATGTACATACTCAAGGGAACTGAGAACTGATGGCCACACAAAAACCTAAATGAGAATGCTCATCGCAGTATAATTTATAATAGGCGAAACTAGGGAAAACCCAAATGTCCATCAATTGACAAACAAATGAACAAATATAGCATAATCATCATACAGTATAATATTATCTGTCCATAGAAAGGAAACTACTAATAACATGAATCACATGAATGGATGTAGAAATGCAGTGGAACCCTGAAGTATAAGTCTATGGGAAAGAGGCCTATCACAAAAGGCCAAGTATTCTATGATTCATAAAATGTCCAGAATTGGAAAATCTATGGAGCCAGAAAATAGTTTAGTGGTTGCCAAAGGGTGGGACTGATTAAAGAGGAATGCAAGATGACAGCTAATGGTTATGGGCTTCATATCAGGGTGATGAAATGTTCTAAATATTGACTAATATTTGCACATCTCTGAATATACTAAAGCCTCTTGAATTGTATAGTATGTGGACTAAAGCCCAATAAAACTATAACATAAAAAAAAGTACCTAAAATCTGTCTTCTACTTCCCATGCCATGGCCTCAATTTATAGAGAATAACTTCTTTCATTTCCCCAGCCACATGCAACTCTAAACCCACACCAACATCCCCTGCTCCACCCCCAGCAGATACCTCTCAACATCATTAGCTCTAACATAAAGATCTGTTCTAAGCAAAATAGGGAAGTGGTGAGTTATAAAGGATAAAATTTATAAATACTACCATGTGAACTTAAAACTTTCTATTGTGATACAACACCATCATAAAAATTAAAGGAAAACTGGCAAAAATGTGTCCAAGATGACAAAGGCTTCATTTTCATAATCTACAAAGGGCTCTTTCAGAGCAGTAAGTGAAGAATGAAAGACCAAAATAGACCAAGCAGAGGAACAAGCATTCATATAGGAAGAATCAATAATGGCCAAAATGAAAAGACATCCACATTTGCTAACAATAAAAGAAACAGAAATAAAAAAGATTTTTTTTTTTTCTCTCTTCAGAGATTGGTAAAAAATTTTGAAGACTTGTCAATATCCAGGCCTGGCTAAATTTTTTAAAATTTGGAATGAATGTAAAATTATCAGCCTTTTTAGATGGTAGTTTGACAGTACCTATTAAAATTTAAATATTCACTCTTTTTGATCCGTGATTTTTGTGCAGGAACCCTACAAATCACTGCCACATACATAGAGATAAAAGTACAAAGGTCGGATGGTCTCACTCATAGCAGGAATTTAGAAAACCTAAATAAGAGACCAGGAAAAAAACTACTCAATACAAAGTAAAAATCAAAATCAACAAGCAACTATAAACCAGAGACACACTACAGGGGGATGGGGGAGGGAGGGAGGGGCGGGGAAAGGAAGAACTAGAGTCAAAATAAGGGGTGGAGGGTGCAATTGTATGGGGAATATAACCAAAATGAAAATGCATACATTGTGCAAAGATGAAAAAAGATGTAAGAATTATACAAAATAAAATATTTTAATTAAAAAAAAGGTACAAAGGTGAGGGGCCTCCTTTGTGGTGCAAAAGGTTAAATGGTGGAGCTTCTACTGGTCTTTTTATTCCTTGGTCCAGGCACCACAGTTACAGTTTTCACTTGGGAACCACAGTGCCATATCCCCATGATCATCTCTTCTCTTGGTTTTGGCAAAGAAAAAACATGTGGGAGCCTCCCTGGTGGCACAGGGGTTAAACTCTTCAGCATTTTCAAGCAATCAAGCTATTGCTAGCCACTGTAGCACCAGGTCCATCCCCAGCCAGGGAGCTGACCCACATGGCACAGCAGACCTCTCCTGTCTCACCTGCTGCTTCCCTCAGCAGTGTGTTTCAGGAGATGGCTTGTTCTGCTCCCCACTCTGTTTTTGTATCCTTTCTCCCCCAACACCTCTAGCCTACACCCAGGTTCTTGTATACATAAATAAATAAAAATATGGCACAGCAGACCTCTCCTGTCTCGCCCACTGCTCCCTTCAGCAGTGTATTTCAGAACAGTCTGCCTGTTCTGTTCCCACACCGTCTCTGGTGAATCATCTCACCACCCGCCCCCCCCCCCAGCCCCCCACCTCTGGCCTGTACTCCAGTTATTCCATGCATAAATAAATAAATCTTAAAAAAAAGAATCTTAAAAAAAAAAAAAACGTGTACTTGGCATGTTGACTGATTTCAATTTTCTTCACCATATTCTAGAGGGAGGTACTGAATGGGTCTCAGCCATTTCCACCTTCCTGGTGCATTTGGTCACACCAAGTGCTACCCTCAGAAAGGAGATCACTCTAAGCAGAGTACATTTTTTTTTTTAAGATTAGCTTCAAGGACTACCTGGTGACACAGCAGGTTGAGCGCTGTGCTGTGAAGCTGTCTGCAGCCTCGGCAGCACGGGTTCGATTCCCAGCTGGCCAGGGAGAAACCCACATGGCTTGGTAGCCATCTCTTGCCTCGCCCACTGCTCCCCTCAGCAGTGTCTTCTGTCTGTCTACCTGTTCTGCTCCCCACTCTGTCTCTGGTGAATTCTCTCACTCTCCCGCGCCTCTGCCCTGTACCCCAGTTCTTGTATGAATAAATAAATCTTAAAAAAACACAAAACTATAAATTAAAAAAAGATTAGCTTCATAGTGCTGCGACTTAAACCCTTGTGCCACCAGGGAGGCCCCTAAGTGGAACACATTACATTTATACATGCTCATGTTTTCTGTTGCAGTTGATAATGTGTATGATTTACCTGCTCGTTCATCACCATTACTCAAAAAAAAGCAGTGTCCAAACGTATGGTTAGAATGATTTCATTGTTACAAATACATGAGTTATAATACAGTTATAGACACATACACACATGCACATGTGCACAGGGAAAAAGAGGAAATTACAACAAACTATTAACAGTGGTTAACTCAAGTGAGCTGACTCATAGGAACTTTTACTTTAATAAATACATGCGTGTGTATATATGTGTGCCTGCATAAATGTGTGTGTGTGTGTATATATGTGTGTGTATGTATATATACACACACATTTAAAATCCATAGTAATAGACTTTAAAAAGCAGAATGCTGGGCCTCCCCGGTGGCGCAGCGGTTGAGCACTGGGTTGCGAAGCTGCCCGCAGCCTCTGCAGCGCCGGTTCGATCCCCGGCTGTTCCCTGGTCACCGGGGCGAGGGTCCAAGGGGCAAGGGTCAGCGGGGCGAGGGTCCCACATAGTGCGCAGACCTCTCCTGCCTATCCTGCCTATCCTGCCGCCTGCTGCTCCCTTCGGCAGTGTACTTCGTCACTCTCTCTGTTCTACTCTCCTCTCTGGCTCTGGTGAATTCTCTCATCCTCCTGCACCTCTGACTGTACCCAGTGCTTGTATAAATAAATAAACAAAAATCTTTAAAAAAAAAAAAAGACCTTTCACTAAAAAAAAAAAAAGGCAGAATGCTTTGTTTTGTAGTAAAAAGTAATAATAAAAAATGTTTTTTTTTTTTTTTTTTTTTAAAAGATTCATTTATTTGTTTATACAAGCACTGGGTACAGTCAGAGGTGCGGGAGG